AACGACAACCTTTCCTCTAGCGCCTGTCGCCATTTGAGACGACCGGAAGGGCTGGAGGGGGAGGACGGGGAGGAGGAGGAGGAGGGGAAGGAGGAAGGGGGGGGTCCATGAAGTCACCTGGATCACTCCAGCCGCCTTAACTTTGTGCTGATAGAAGTTCTCCTCGGTCTGTTTGCACCTTGTTTCCGCTTCCTGCAAGACGGCTGACTGAGCAAAAGTCCTGTGAAATACACCAACCTCTCCTCCTGCTCCTGCTCCTGCTTCTGTCCCTCACTTCTCCTCTCCTCTATCCCTTTCTCCTCCTCCTCGCTCCTCCTCCTCCTCCTCCTCGCTTCTCCTCTTCATTCTGGCCTTTCGTCATCATTCTCTTCCTCCATGACCTCCAACTTCTCGGTGAGCTCGTAGACTTTGGCTGACGTTTGCACGCGGACTTCAGTCTCTCGTGAAGCCATCCATTGCAAAGTGTCGTTTTGCTTCCTCAGGCGCAGATTTTCCTGCAGATAGACAGGAGGGAAGAGGGGATGGGAGGGGAGGGGAGAGGAGAGAAGGGGAGAGAGGAGAGGAGAGGAGAGGAGAGGAGAGGAGAGGAGAGGAGAGGAGAGGAGAGGTGGAGAGGAGAGGAGAGGAGGGGAGATGGGAGTAGAGTAGAGGGGAGGAGGATCGTAAGATTACATAACACGTGAAGCATTTCTCGCACATCAAGAACGGTTGAATGTTGCATTCCAAAGTTCATCGCGTTTGCTGAGAAGTTCTCCTGCGAGCAAGTGAGAGCAGCGAGTGGAAATACAAACTCCTTCCACCTCCTTCGTCTGCTTGAGAGTCTCTATGAGAGAAATTTGCTGCTCACTTTCCAGCTTGCGACGGGCAAGCTGGGTTTCAAGGTCCTGACGGGAAGTCAGGGAGGGAGAAGGAGGGAGGGAGGAAGCAATGCTGGGAGGGAGGTTGAGTAGGGTAGAGAGGGAGACGGAAGGGGGAGAGTAGAGAGGATAGGAGAAGGGCTGAGAGAGAAAGAGGAGGATGTAAAAACAGAAGTAAAGGGAGGAAAGGGCCCCTTGTGCCGCAGTCAGGAGGGAGGGCAGGAGAGAGAGCATGCATAGCGAGCGAGGTACTAGAACAGCAGGGGCAAGAAGATCAGGAGTAAGAGACCTTCACTCTCTCCCTCGCTCTCTCCGTGTCCTTCAGCATACTTGACTGCAGCAGCACTCGCCGGTCAGAGCACGCTACAACACAGCAGCAGCAGCAGCAGCAGCAGCAGCAGCAGCAGCAGCAGCAGCAGCAGGTCCTCTAGCAAGCAGGATCGACTGGTCTCTCCAGGAGTGTCTTGCCTGCATTTGGACGGCACTCCTCAGCTGATCTTCGAGCTGCGCGATGCGGCGGTGGGAGAAGTCGTCCTGGTTCGACTTGAGCTCCCTCTCGTGCCGCGCCTTCATCCCCTCCATGTCCCTCGTTAGACTGTCTCGCTCCTCCTTCAGCTCCTGCTGGGAGCTCAACGGCCAAGACGCCATCATCGGACGGCAAGCTCACCTCGTAGCGCGATCGGAGGATGTTGAGCTGTGACATGAGGCTGGAGCGATCCTCGGAAGAAGACTGAAGGACCGGCGCCACGGCCTCCTTAACGATCTCATACAGCTTTTCTTTCTGCTGGTTTCGAGTAAGCTGCAAGCTCAAGATCATGTCGTCTGTCATGATGTTTTTGGTCCTGAAAGTCGAAGACCAAGATAAGTGGACCGCAAACAAGAAGAGAAGGAGGAAAGATTGGAGGAAGGGAGGGAGGGAGGGAGGGAGGGAGGGAGGGAGGGAGGGAGGGAGGGAGGGAGGGAGGGAGGGAGGGATGGAGGAGGATCAGGTATCTTTGACGGAGAGTTTAAAGGTCTCACTGCTCCAGCGGGCTTTGGAAACCAACGTGAACTCCTTGCATCAATCCGTTTCTTGCAAGTCCCTCGTCCTTCCTGCCCATCGCTCCATCCTCCCGAAGATTGCTCTGCAGCCCGCGTATCGAGATCTTGTTCACCGGATACATGGGTGCCCCTTGGAACGGATGCGACGAAGCAGGCGCCTCCTGCGTTTTCGTGCTTCAGTCTTCTGCTGCTCTGGCCCTCAAGAACGACACACCTGAGGGACGTCTTGGGCAATGAGCTGGGGATGAAGTTCGTTCAGCAACCTGTCGATCTCTTCATCGAGCCCGGTGCTTCCAGAGCTTGCGGAATTGGTCAGAGGAGGGAAGAAAGGGAGGAAAGGGAGGATATGTAGTAGAGGGAGGAGAGGATCGAAGTTGCCAGAGCGATGAAGAAATAGCTTCACACGGGTTCAATGCAATCAAAGGGAATGGAAGATTTCGTCAACCTCAAGTCACCAACATCATCATTTGATCGTCACGATCGTGATACACGTTCGTTCTCACCTCAGCCTATACTGCATCGCATCCTGAGTCATGATGCTCGACGAGCCGCTCGACCGCACGTCAAAGTGGTTCTCATGTCCCATGACCATGTTGTGCGAGACGTTCCAGCCCTCCCTCTCCATCTCGTTGGCAGCCGGCGGGACGGCAGGAGCAGCACGATAATCCATCAGCCCCCTCGGAATCCGCGAGAACGTCGGGCCCTGGGCATACCCGCCCTTGCTGCGGAGCTGCTCGAGATCGTCCTCAAGACGCATCCTGTCTTCCTCAATCTGATGGAGGAAGCATGAGAAAGGATTGGGATAAAGGAGATGCAGAAAGAAGGGGGAGGACGGGGGATGGGGAGGCAGGTCAGAACGGCAGACTCGATCTCCTTTCCTCCTCTTACCTGACGTCTGGCTGCGCTCATCGCATCCTCAGGCAGCCCCTGTTGATCTCTTTTGACCTCCTGTGACGACAAGGGCGTGTTTGACCGGGAGGTCAGTTTGTGAACCCCCGAGTTGTAGAGCAGGTCCTTGGAAGACAGAAGATCTTTCACGAGACCCTTGAAGTCATCGAAGTGAAGCAACCTAAGAGTAACAATGGAGATCAGTGAGGTAAAGACTTTGGAATGCAATCCCATGGAAACAACAATCAAGACATGGTTTCAAGAAAGCACAGTAGTTTCAAGAAAGTTTCAAGAAATCACAACCTGAACCTCCATACCGCATTTATCAAAGGGTTCAACACAGATTTTGAATCAGAATTGCATTCATGCATGGAGGTAGGGACATTCTGCAAGATCACCGTTTCTCCCGATCAAGCTTTGGGTTGCTGTTGAAGGCTTTCACTGCATCTTCATCGGTTATCACCTGCGGAAGCAAGTTCTTGATTCTCAGCAGCTCCATGAACTGATTCTGATTGATGAAAGAGCTGTATCGGTTGACTTGAGGAGCTGATGACGACCTTTGAACGTTGACCATGTCTGCACCTCGAGTCTCGCTGTAAAATCCTCCACCCCCATATCCATTGCTCATGCTTGCGCCTGCAAGGTTTTCGGCATTTTTGTGCAAAATTGCCTCAGCCTGGCTTGTGATGCCATTGTTAAGAGGCTCACGTGTGAAAGTTTCTGCAGCATGTGCGACTTCATTCAGACCCTGCTGAGCGCTATCCGCTGTTCCATCCTTCTGTTCAAAGGTGTTCAACAGGTTGAGGAAATTCATCCTCCTCTGATGCTTTTCCTCCGCACTCCTTCTTACCATTGATTCAGGCCTGCTACTCCCACTCTCATCAGACATCCGCTGTGCAGTTTTCATAGCACTTCTTTCATCCATTGCAGCTTGCGCTGGCGCCCCCTCCATCCCTTCTTGCTCCATTCTGTCCTCCTCTGACAACCAACTCTCGTCCAAGGAGCTCAGTCCGTGATCCTCGGAGTACCCGCCCGCTTCCTCTGCCATCATCGCAGACATTGATCTGTTGCCCTCCTCAAGACGAGCTCGGAGAGTTGTTCCCTTCTCCGTCAGTTCTTTACCATGCCATCGTTTTGGTTGAAAAGCGTCAAAAAAAAACTAAAAAAACAATCGATCGAGTCAAATTCACTTGACAGGGACTAAAAAAAACCTGCCCGGGCCGGTTTAGTTAGAGGAACCCTGATAACACCAGGTTTAAGTTCAAGAGGTTTAGTCTTGCTTTGAGTGAGAGGGGATGTGGTCACCTATGCTAGAAATAGCTCGGACCACCCCTGTGCTGTCAAAGTCAGTCGCGATGAGGGGTCATAGGAACCAGAGGAAAAAAAAGGTCTCCCGATTTAGCAAATTTGACTAGAACAGGGGGTAGGGTACAAATAAGATTGAATGGGGTGAGGGTGGTGTATATCCCGTTGGATTCAACGAAAAATAGTTTAGGTGAAGGGGGTATGTCTTGAAGAGTGGGGTCGAGGGGGTAGGGTGAGGAATATCTGCAAGGTAGGGTGGGGAGGCTGTTTTATAAGCCGAGGAGGGAGTAGCGGCGGCACAGACGAAAAGGTGAGAGCTGAAATTGCACGCTATGGCTCCCTCGATCGATGGAAGATTGTGAAAGTTTGTGAACCAATGGCTGTAAAACTGTGCAAGAAATGTGTGAAACTATCATATTCTTGTTCCTTTTCGATTTTTGTGGATTTCTTGCAATGTTTGATGTATCCATGTGGTTTGTGCACTGCGAATACTACTGCAATCACCTTGACTGACTTTTCCGTAGATGTTCGCTCTCCTTGCCATGACCATGCTCGATGACGTCAACACCATCAACACCTGGGCTGAGCCTCACAACGCCAATGGCATCACCCCCAACAGCGTCATCGACTCCAACGACGAGCCCCCCTGCAACAACCAGCAGCGCATGGCCGCCCGCGGATACTAAACGATCTGTGCAATAGCATCTTTTCCGATTTATTTAAAATGAAAGAATAATCACATTTGTTCTTTTATTCCTTGCAAACCTCTGATTCCTATTTCATTCTTCTGAAAATGATTTTGAGTGGGATGTTATTAAGATCGACATGAAAGAGAAGATTTGCATGGCAGTCTCAATTTAGAGCTCAGTGTACAGTTTGACGAAATGATGTTTTTCGCCTGCGACACTTTCACCCATATCCAAAACAAATTCGGTTTCGGGTTACCCATACATCGACCAACGCGCCATTGACAGCGAATCGATCTTGAAAACGATCAGAGGGTAACACAAAGATTCCTCTTATCACCTGCGAGCGGAAGGTAAACTGTTTCCATCTTCTCGCTGTCCTCGCATGCAACGTTGGTGATATTAAGCTTCTCGCAAATCTTTCCGTCCCCGTCGTAATGTATCTTGGAAGCCCATCAACAAACAATCCCTCAGGACACAGAAAGATACCTTGAAGAAACATGTATTCACCCAAGGGATTGAATAGCAGAGCCCTGATGGTACACCACAATGGTTCAGGGTTGGGAAGTGATGTGTTGGTGAAAGCAACCAACCTAGCTCTCCGTAAAGGTACCCGCCATCGACTGTGCCACTTGATGACTGGGAGGAAATGCTTGCTTGCATTCTGGGAAACCTGCAGGAGACAGCTGTCAAAACATTTTGGGGATCAGACGAGCAGCAGCACTCTGTTACAGTCGGCATGTACGAGCTGGGCTCAACGTGGACCACCAAAAACTCGAACTGAAGGAGTTTGGTGTGGATCTCAACGTTACCCTCGTAGTTGAAGTAGTAGAACATCAAACTCTTGCTCTTGTCATTCCAGATCCCTGCTAGTCGTCAGGTAGTCTGTTCTCATCGAAGATGAACACATGTACCATGCCCTGGGTCGACTTGTTCACCGGCTGAGAACATTAAGGAGGAATCTTGTCCTCCAATCTTTACGAGGTATTCGTCTGCATTCGTAGTCGCTGGGCCCACCATGGAATAGTACTGCAAGCCGCTGACTGTAAAACGCGTCCCTTGTTGGATCTGGAGTCGAATCATCATAGCAGCAAAACTGACGTGCGATTTACGATAGAGTCCGCCTTTAGATTGACGGTCAACTTATGATAGAATGCTGCAGCATGTAAGAAGAAACATGCTCAAGACCTTCAGTACCATCGAAGTCACAAGTTTCGCTCAATTCCTTGATCTGATTAGGAGTCATGGGACAGCAATTGTAAAGACTATTTTTTTTGACGAACCGGGAAGCATTCAAATGCAAGCAACCCAAACGGATCCTGGAGAGCGATGCTCTTGCCATCTTATCGCAGTCTCACTTGATGAAAAAGGATGCTTGGTGATGAACAATACCTATCAGAAGCAAGGGAGTTTCATGGAACTCCCTCGGATTCTCTGTGGGGTTGATGACGGAGAACTGGAAGCTGATCAAGGAAAGGTCCGCCCCTAAGTTCCTGCAAATTGTATCACAACAATCAAAGCAGCACGTCCATTTGTGCAGCACATGGAAACGCCCCGACGAGCTTGACTCTGTCCGTAGTTCCATACCGCATCCCCTTGGCTCCCTCCGACCAAGCTTGATGCAGATGCGCCAGAAAGGGGAAGCTCGGCAACGAACCTGTTCACGGATTGAGATGTGAATGAAATCTAGAGGGAGCCATATGTGGGCTCACCCGGGAGGAAGGGTATGCGCTAGACCGCCGAGCTCAACCTTGGCGCCCGATGAGATCGGAAGCTTGGCTGATTCCATCCTCAGAAAGGTCGGGAGTGAGTACAAGTTTCTTACACGCGATGATGACAGACAGAGTATTCAGCCCTCCACATTTCTTCGACGACTGACTGACCCAAGAGGTTGTCTTGGTCAGAAGGTTTGACAGAACCGTCTTGAAAGGCCCATCATTGCACCTGCAAAGCGTTGAGGCTGGTCGTAAACCGGCAACAGCTCTCAGAGGTTGAGGTACATCGCGGCATTGCAGGAAACGAAGTAGGCTGGGAGCCCGTTGAAGGCAGATGCCTGCATCTCGCCGACTTCGGCGCTGGGCTCTGGGTAGAACGAGGTCCTTGACTGGATTTGATAGTCTTGGAGGACCTTTCAGAAGCATGTCAGGGTAGAGCGATGTGAAGGCCAGCCCCGACCTCGTTCATGAGGAGAAACACCCGATCGCCCGACACGCACCCTCCTCGCTGCAGCCCATCGTGAAGGGTGGCGACGCATCGAAAGGTTGCAGGGCAGCTGAGGAGACGGAGCAGGCATCATGCAAGGCGCGATCAGCAGAGGCACCTCGACCTGATCATCTGCTGCGCGCCGGAGGAGGTGGAGAGGCTCTCGTTGTAAGTGGAGCAGTTCAACGTCTCGACCGCTCGGTTGCACCTGATGCTCTCGCACGTCAAGAACATCCCTCCACCCTCTCCCTTGCTCCGTCCTACATGTCCGCCTGGCAAACATAGTAGAAGAACCCGCCGGTGTAGGAGTATCCCGTCCTGCTTGCAGCATGAGGAGAGTCAGGCCGCCTGCCTCTCACTCACAGGTTTTGCAGGGACGCGTCGACACAGCCGTAGAGGGCTCCGTCCGGTCGGAATCGATAAAAGCATCCCAGTGCACCTGCAGTGGAGCCTGAGGAGGTTGCAGGCAGTCATGGCCGTGAGGACTCACACTCTACCGCCTGATCGGTTCCGTTGTAGCAGCTGTAGGCCTCAGAGACGCTGAGATGGCCGACGGCAAGGATGGCAAGGACAGGAAAGAGTCGGGAGAGTCGACCCATCGTTTCCAAGTGACAGAGGGAGCAGGAGCCGCCCTCAGATTGTTGACACTCCAAGAGGCAGGGGAAGGTCAACAGGATATGAGAGAGTGAAGGCAGGCAAGTGAGGACAGTTGATGAGAGTTAGGGAGCGGAGCAGGGAGGAAGTCAGTCCAGGTTGAAACGAAGGATGTAGCTAGAGGAGAGGGACGAAGGTCAACAAAGTTCTCAAGAGGTCAGGATGAGGATGAGGATGGGGATGGGGATGAGGATGAGGATGAGGAGATAGTGGTGCTGGTGGTGGTACTTGTGATGGAGCAGGAGGAGAAGGATGTAGTCAGTGGCCCGGAGGGTCAAGACATTCGCTGTCAAAGGGTTTGTCGAGAGATTTCAAATGTTTATTCAAATTGCCTTTGCAAGCTCTAAAATTCTGGAGAAATTTCAACTATTTTTCAAATCTTGCGAATGCGTCAATGGATGTGTTAGCAGCAGAGAGTCGAGCGACGGGGAGAGGAGTGAACCAAGTAAGAGAGAGAAGAGAGCGAGTGATAGGGATGAAACGTGTTTCAGGATGCTGTTTGAATTTATCCAAAATAGAACATAACGATGTCGAATACAAGAAGACCTGCAAGTACTATCGATCCCCACATTGCGCCACGAGTCATGAAGATGAAAGTTGAGACTCCAGCGGTCAAAACTGGCCCAAGCAAAATAAAGCCGATCCACGAGCCGGCATTCCAGCTCTTGCTCCATCCACCAGATTGTTGTTGTCCCTGCGATCTTTGAAACGCTTCATACTTTGCCTACATCACAGAAAGTCAAATTCTCTGCGAGAACAAGAGCTTCTTACCCTCATCCGTGGATCAAGCGCGTAAGGGTCATAAGTGACTGAGTCACTTGCACCAACCGACTCGCCCTCGCCCTCGCCCTCGCCCTCGCCCTCGCCCTCGCCTTGAGCTTCCCCCTCGCCCTCGCCCTCGCCCTCTCCCTCTGCAGGTTGTCCCCCCCAAGCTTGCTGTGCCTGAGCTTCTCTCTAAGATAGCACATGTCAGTCCAATAACCTGCAACTCCACAACGCTAACCTGGCTCTCTCTAATCTGTTCAGGATCGACGTTGGCGTTGGGCGGAATGACGTTTCCAAACACCACAGTGCCGTTGGGAGCATCTCCGTTTTCATCTTTGATCCAAGGCTCATTGTTCTCATCCATCCACTGACGCACAACATCAGATGAGAAGAACTTACACTAGATGTCACAATACCTTGAACCCATTGCATTGCGGTCCCACACAATGCTCCAGCTCCTGACCAGTGTGCGGATCGATGCTTCTGTCCAGCGACCAATACTCCTGGTATTCTGCAGGAGGAGCGTTCTTTGGTCCCACACCTTGATGAATCACTTGACCCGTTCTTAAGTCAACAACCTGGTCGCCCGCCATTCCCCAAGCATCGTCGCACTCTCTGCCGCTGCAGTAGAACGTCTTGTTCTGACCATCAATCTGCACCCGCATGGCTTCGATCTCGTCTGACTTCGCCTGCAGTGCATTGAGCTGTTTGTCACGGATCTTGGTGTATTGCACATCCCTGATGGCAAGCGGTCGATCGCGGAAGCCGATCCCCTCACCGAACTTTCCAAAAGTCCCTTCGGACGCGTTGATGGTGTTCTCTCCGAAAGCGCCTTCTCTGAACACTCCAAGAACAGGACCCTGGTGCTTCGAGACTTTTCCATCCGCAGTCACGTGTTTGTCTGACAGGCCGTGAACATGGATGTTAAGAGACTTGGGAATGACGCTCTCTCCGTCTGGATAGATGTACTTGGAAGGAACGAACTCGTCGTTGAGAGGGTCAGTGAGTGCGTCAACGTCAGCCTGCTCCTTAGCTTCATCTTCCAGCCTTCGGATACGCATGAGCCGCTTCTGTTCGTCCGTGTACTCTAGCGGCTGCCCCGTCCGTGCATCGACCACGAAGTCTGTGAACTGCCTCTGCTTGATGATCTTCTCGAACTGTTGGTTCTTCAAGTCTTCTGGAGTTGCTGCAGAGGAAGCAGTCAATGGCACCCCCGGGACAGACCCGTTTGCCATGGCAGCGTCGGACCGGTAAACCCATCCACGCCCCATTCCCGACCGAAGTGCATTCTCATCGACCTGCGGAGCAGGAGGCGATGCAAGTATCTGTACTCGATGTTTAACCAGAGCATTGTGAAGATTGAGCTGGTTTCTTCCGAGGGAGAGAAGGTTGACCGTTCCCATCCCCTTGTCGTGAGCAAGGAGGAAGAAAGTGGACTTAGCTACAAGAATTGAAATGATTGCAGGCAGAAAGAGATCAACCCTCCTCCTGAAAGGCCCTGGGCCCAATAGAGGGCTCAACTCCATCTGTCTTCTACTTCTTGGCAGGAAACGGAAACCTCAGATTCTCTCACCTGCGAAGGATGATTCAGACACACCTCTTGCACATGATGCATGTCGGATGTTCAACAGGATAAGTGTGAAGAGGAAACAGACTCGACCCATACCCAGTCAACATATCTCAGAATGCTAACAAATCTGAACGAGACTGGTGAACACATAACAATGCTAACACAACTGAACAAGACAGGTCAATATACACCAAAATGCTATAACAACTGAACAAGACAGGTCAATATACACCACAATGCTATGACAACTGAACAAGACAGGGACCCGCGCTCTCATCCGCGACATTTCATCACAATCCCTCACCTCGCCATGGCCATCGCGAACAGCCGCGACTGATGAGTAATTGTATGATACTCCCTGCAATCAAGGGGTAGGGGTACTTCATCACCCCACCATTTATCAATAATCAAAACTGTGCAGGACGGGTACTAGATGAAATTTTGATTTGTCTTATGAAGTCCTGGACTTACGGCGGCAGGCCGGGCCGGGCCCGGGCGCCGCCCGGCGCCCGGCGGCCTCGGACCGTGAAGTCGTCACTGCCGGGGCCGCGCCACCGACAACTACTGAACGGTATCAGTTAAGTTTGGCAAGTTTGGGGACAGCAGAAGGCAGGATGAGGGTTGGTTCTCGCTGTCTTTTCTCTTCTCGCCGTATGGCCTGTGCCGCCTGGCACCGACATGAAAACTTACAGTGCCACGGTGAGTTCAAGGTTACCGACCCGGCCGTCACTCATCGGACCGTCTGATGTCCCGGCGAGTCACCGTCGGAGGACAATCAGGAGAGGAGAGACTTTGAGTAAACAGAGAGTCAGAAGGCTTGACCGTTTTACTCAAAGACCATGGCACTACACTCAACCGGGTACTGTCTCTCGGCGCACGGAGCCTCCGGGAAGAGAAAGCAGCCTGCCAGCAGCCTAAGTAAACTCTAGTTCAGTAATCCAAGGTAAGTTGGCAAACTGGCAACCCTCACCATCTTGATTGTCATGCTTCATCATGATGGGACCCAGGGGAGCCTTGCTGGGAGGGGCTCGCATCCGCTGATACACCTATTGTCACAATGCAGTCTCGTTGCAAGTCCAGCCAGGCACAAACGCGCTCCGCCAGGTCCATGTCGCTCAGCCTCTCCCTCGTCCAGCTCTCGCTCCCCTGCACTGGCATGCGAACAGGCTCCTTCCGGTCCTCTGAGCGGCTGGGCTGCATGAGAGTCAACGCCTCGTGCAGCGGCCTCTGCCAGCGTTGCTGCAGGAGCCTGGGAGGCACGTCCATGCCCATCAGGAAGCAAGCTTCCTGTTGCATCTCAAGCCGAGCAAGATCCAAGTCAATGGCGTAGCACTGGTTGACGAGGTCCTCATGCGGGACTCCCAGCGGCTTTCGTCTCCCCATCTCCTTCTGCGCGTCCAAGTATCTCTGCTTGGCGGCCCGGTACTTGAGGTACTGCCTGTACAGGTCCGGCAAGACTCGCTGGGCTGCATCTGTGCTCATAGAGGACCTGCTGGTCCGTTGGAGCGGAACGAACTCGCGGATGATTCTCTCCAGCTCGAGCTGGCGCTGCATGTCCCGCAGCCTGAGCTCCTCTGATCTCCTCTGTCTGCGCTCCTCTGCTCTCATCAGTCTATAGAGCTCCTCCGATGTCTCCATCAGCCTCGCAGGCTCCTCCACTCTCTGTCGCAGCCTGGAGAGCTGCAGAGAGTCGGCTCTCCTGCTGTCCTTGTCGACAGGCAGGCCAGCTACCAAGTGCTTCTGAGTGTACTCGACCAGCCTTCTCTCGAGGAGGGACTGTTCGCGGTCGCGGTACTTGTCCACGACGTCCTTGACGGCAGGCTGCAGCGCTTGGGGGAAGGAGAGCGGGTTTGGCTCCCCCGGGCAGCTCGTGTACGAGTGGCTGGCCCATGCCCCGAGGCACATCCAGCAGAACTGGTGCCCGCACTTCCTGCACGTCATGTGATTGCATCCTCCCATCTTCTGGATGCGATATTCGCACTTCGTGCATGGCTTGGTGCTCCGAGCAATCTCCTCTTGGTCACTGGGAGCCTGGGCTCCTGCTTCCTCCTGCTCTTCTCCGCTAGCAATCTTGATGATCCTCGACTTCAGGGCCGTCAGAGAAGCTCTATCGCACAGGTCGAGGATGTCTTGGAGGTTATACACATTCACCGGCTGCTCCTCACCAGACACCGTCTGATCATAACGGGGCCTGAACAGCCGGAAGCTGGCGGAGGTGGCGATCGTGTCCAAAATGTCGATCTGGTCTTCCTCATCTTGCATGTCGTGTAGGAACAGATTGAACAGCTGGTTCGCGTCTGCTCCCCTCATCTCTGTTGCTGCTCCAAGACCTGCGACCGGGGGGGGATCTCTCAGCAGCCTCCAGCTGTTGGCCTCGCGGGTCGCCTGCTCGGTGCCTGACGTGACCTCATGACTCTCTACCGCTGACGAGCCGTCGGGCTGGCGGGAAGACTGTCGGGCGGCTTGAGCTGCTCGGCTCGAGCTCAGACGATGCTCGCTGACGGGAAACGAGCGGAGCTGACAGGCTGCGACCTCACGCGTTTCAGCTCGAAGCTCTTCCTCAAGGAGTCTTCGCCGAACCGTTCTCTCAAACGAGACTCCAAGCTCTGCTTGTTCGTTGCTTTCAAGCTGCTGGCAGACTGCATCGTGAGCCTCATCGAGCTGCCGCAATCTCTCTTCCAGCAATACCCGCGACTCGCACCCGACGATGACGTGCGCAGGCACCAACTTTCTCGATGCCAGTGAGCAACCGACGCAGAACATGGCCATGCAGCCCTCACACTTGACCGTAGCTGTGCTGTTCTGATGGGACACAGCGGCCATGGTCGAGACCGAGGTCGAGACGGCCTGACAGCAGGGAGAGGTACACGGCAGTATGCCCGCCTGCCACGAGATGTAGCTCCTCTCTATGCTGCCGTATGTCTCCAGGAGGACCCGCCATTCATCGTCGTTGGCAAAGCGAGTCTGCAAAGCTTGTCGGTCGAAGCGCAGCTTGTCCGTGCATCCAGCATTGGGACAGCCAGGAAGCTGGATTGTCACTTCTTGGTCATTGATGGCGAATGCCAGGAATCGCTTGAAGCAATCTGCGTGAAGCCTGTGGCCGCAGCTCAAGCGCACGCTGCTGATCGCATCGGTGTCTTGGCAGATAACGCAGTGGAAGTCTTCCTGTTGGTGCTGGTGCTGGTCAGACTCAGATGTCGAGGGGGCAGGATCAGCGAAGAGCATGCCTAGGGCATCGCCTATCCTGTCAGGGTCTCCGCAGGTCTGATCAAAAATGCTGCATGTACAAGTCAGCAACATTATTTCGACCAAGACAACGACGCATACCTGGGGGCGTCCCACCCGCAAACTTCGAGGACGAAGGAATTAGCGTTGGTGTTCGGAAGGCTCGGTGGAGCATGGCGGTGCTGTTGACAAGACATTGTACCAACTATGTGTTGTGTTCACCAAGAAGTTCTGCAAAAAGTAAGAATCAAGTGCGAGAGGAACCAGGAGGATTTGGTTGAGTGAGATACAGTAGGTTGGGTGTGGAAGAGACGATGCAGAAGAGAGGAGGTAGTGTATCTACGGACAGGGGGAGGAAGCGAGAGCAGGTAAGAAATCATCGATTCCGAAGAGGGGTGGGGTCCTTTTCTTTGGTGAAAATGGGGGTATGGATATGGATTCATTGAAGAGCGGCATGGAAACTGGAGGTAGAGAAGGTATATACCCTTTTCTATTCGAGCAGAACATATAAATTTCTTTCCTTTACTGAGGTGAGAGATACTGGAGGAGAAAGTGTTCGAGACCAAACAGATAGGGAGGGTAGGGGTGTGGAAGTGAAGGGTAGGGGGTAAAGGGGTGGTTGACTCAGATTCAAACATGTTTGTAGGAATTTGGGACTGGCCGGCGGCTGCACGTGACCAACTTTCAACTGACTGGTCCGGTCATCCGGGCCTTCTAGCCCGCCGCCAAGATGGCAGGCCCGGCCCGGAATCTGAGTGACCGCCGGTCGGTCAGTGATCACACGAGTCAGCGGCCGTCCAAATGGGCTGAGCCTGTCACTGTGTGAACGGTGACTCTCTGAATGTCTGGATGCTTGCCAATCCTGAGTTGTTCAGCAAGTTCCCGTGACCTCCCGGCTGTGCATTCAACTCCGAGTCACCCGTGTTGAGCAAAACTTGAAAACAGTCGGGAGCTGGTTGCAGCTCACTGAGTCAGAAGCGCAAGAACAAGTTAGAGGAAGAAAGGGAAGGGGAGGGAGGGAGGGAGGGAGGGAGGGAGGGAGGGAGGGAGGGAGGGAGGGAGGGAGGGAGGGAGGGAGGGAGGGAGGGAGGGAGGGAGTAGAAAGCAAGGGAAGAGAACGTGAGTGTGAAAAGCTTGCGGAGCGGATCAAAAAGTCAGAGGCAGCAAAGCTCCATCGCCCCTTCTAGCTCTTCTCGTCACTCCACCTCAAGATGTCAAGGAACAAGAGGCTGCAGGCCTCCACGGGAAGGTGAGGTTTCGTTGAGAGTAGCCTGCACGTCTCCCTGAAGTTGCTCTTGGTGACCCTCCTTCTCCCTCTCTTGCCTGTCCGTGTTGGAATGCGTCAGTGATATGGAGCAAGCCCTCTTTTTCGGAGCAATCGAGGTGACATCTAGCGGACTGCTGTGTGCCGACTTAATCTGTGTGATGCGACAGAAACTCTTGAGCTCGTCGGAGCTCACATCGACGGATCGCCTTGCTCTCATGATCTACATGTTCGTCGTTTTCGCTGTCCGTCCCCCCCCCCCCGTCCCCTCGTCTCCTCCAGGATGACATGAACGCGACAGATTGTCATGACCCTGTGGTCCTACTTCCTGTCTCCAAGGCGACAGAAGATTCTGGTTTAACCGAGCCCTTCCTCAAGGACTGGACGCCCTGACTGCATGAGCTAGTTGCAAGACCAGAGGAGGATGGAGTCTTTATCGAGGCCGTGGACTCTGCTGGGTAACCTGCTGTCCTATGTATGCCGAGCGTGTCCTTCCTCCTGACTTTTATTCTTCTCCAGCTCTCTTCTATGGGGACCTATACGCTGCTTCTCTGAGGTCAGGCGGAGGGCAGGAGATGGGCGACTTTTGTTTGATGGAGCTATCCTTTCTTCTACTCACTCACATCGCAGGCCTGCGCCCTCCAAGGAAGGGAAGCTTCTGGCTCTTCACAAGCTGGTGGGGATGACTTCAGCCTTGTCTGCCTGCCTTGACGTACCAGGGCCAGGCCGCCAGCCCAGACATGTTCACCAACACCGCCTCGGTGTCGTCGTTGGCCTACGTCTCAGAGCTTTTGGTCCAACGGATCCCCACGATTCTCATCCCGGTAGCTCATCATCACTGTGAGATGCGCTCGGAGCAGTGACGTCTGCCCTCCGCGTCTGTCCTGCTCGCCCTCTGCTCCTCAGGATATCCAACTCATGCTCGTCTGGGCTGCTTCCCCTGCCGCCCGGGTTGCCCAACGGATCCCGTTGATGATGGCTTGTCTGGCCCTAAACCCAACAAACAGAGATCGTCTGAATCGCACTCGTAACAGCATGATGGTAGGCAGTCTCCTCTTATGGCCTTGTTCTGTCGTCTGCACCTCGATGCAGCCGTGTCCTGCTTCTTGCTCCTTGCTGATTCTTGCTCCCTGTCGAATGCCACGGATGATCGTGAGGCGCAGGCGCTTGTAGCAGGAGCTCGAGCTGCCAGCAAACTCCGGAGGTTTCACTCGATTCTGGCAGTTGCAATCACATGCAAGAGCCGGCAGGTGAGGCTCATTCTGGATCATGTCTCCTTACGTATAAAGATTCTCCTCACTCCCATTTGCACGTGATCAATTGGTCATTGCTTCAACTGTCTCTTCTCATGTTTTGTTTGTAATGGCGTCTCCTCGGCTTTCTGTTCTGACTTGCTCACTCCTCTCTTTCAGTTGTGCGCGGAGCTTGTCAACTTGGGGATCCTTGACGAGCTTGCGGGATGCATCGACGTCCGGAAATCAGCCACGTACTGTGCTGTTCTTTCGTCTCCTTCCTGACTTAGATTTTGCTGCAGCAACAAGGATGATAATGTCCTCCTTGTTGCTGCCCTCGCCCTCAACCAAATTGCAAGATGGTACTCCTCCTCCCTCCCTCCTCCTCCCCCTCGTCCTCCGTCGTTTCCATCATGCAGCTTTCCTTGTCTTTCGCGTCCTTGCAGGAAACACAGAAAGGGACATGCATGTTCTTGCTGTGTATCCTCCTTGGACTAGAAGGATGATATCGTCGCCCTCCTCTCCTTGGTCTTCTGTCCTCAATCCCCCTTTCCTGTTCAGTGGCACAGGCTGGTGAGGCTCAGGTTTCGTCGCAGGGAATCAAATCGCAGCTTGTTCCGCAAGCTTGCTTTTCTGAGGAACATCATCCACCTGACACGATCGAGTGACATCAGAGTGCAGGTATCTCCTGCATACAAGTTGTCCTCTTCCTCTTCCTTGTCCTTGTCCTTGTCCTCGTCCTCGTCCTCGTCCTCGTCCTCGTCCTCGTCCTCGTCCTCGTCCTCGTCCTCGTCCTCGTCCTCGTCCTCGTCCTCGTCCTCGTCCTCGTCCTCGTCCTCGTCCTCGTCCTCGTCCTCGTCCTCGTCCTCGTCCTCGTCCTCCTGCTTATCTTTCTACTTCGTCGTGTTCTTCTTCTGCTCGCCTTGTTCTTTCACAACATCTTCCTGCTCTCCGAAGTCTCATGCTCATTGATTCCATTTCTACCTCGCACTGCTTCTTCCATCTCCAGTTCCTCTGCACTCCTACCTCTCAACACATGCATGCTGCCTCTACCTCCTTCCCTCCTTCGTGCATGACTTCGCTCTCCTCCTCTTCCTGTGACTCCCTGCCCTCCAGTTTGCTGGAGTCTCCATCATCACCAGTCTTGCTCGAGGAGGGATTGCAACGGGATCAGAGCTCCGCAACGCCATTCTCGATGCAGGAGCACTGGTGGCGATCATACCGCTGGTGACTTGCAAGCACGTGGGCATCCAGGTGGCGTGGAGGAGGCGAAGAGGAGAGGAGGATGATTACCCCGATGTGTGCAGGCTCAAGCGTGTAGGGCGATGCACTTTCTCTTAGAAGGTCGTGCAGATGAGGAAGGGATGTTGTGAGAGAGGGGGAGGAGGTGGGGAGGAACAGAAGAGGGAAAATCAGAGGAGGAGGAGAGTTGGAGAAAGCCTTGGCGCTGATGGAGTCACTTGCAGGGCACGGGGAGGGATGGAAGAAAAGGCTCAGGGGCTTGTGCGCTTCGTCAGATGATGCGCATATCAATCAGGTGGAGACGGAGGAGAGAGAGAGTAAACGAAGGAGAGGAGGATTTCGAAAGGAGAGGACAGGAGGAGTGGAGGGTCTCGGAAGAGGAGGAGCAGAGGAGAGGAGTGAAGGAACGGTGGACAGGGAGAGAGAAAGGGGAGGAGGACCCTGTGAGCTGGCATTCACGCTGGGCAGGTCCTTGAGGTGAGAAGAGCTCGGGTGCTCTCGAAGATGGCGATGATGCTGCAAAATCTCGAAGGTGAGATGTGACATGTCATGATGATGCCTGACTGATGGTTGTTTCTGCAGATCTGCAACAAAGCAACGCACTTCCCAAGTGAACATCTCCCAACCACTGCTCCTCCCTGTCATCCGTTCCCCGAGCGTCCCCTCCTCTTATTTCTTCTCTCTGCTCATCCACCTCCCCCTCTCTCCCTCTTTGTCTTCCTACTCCTCCTAATTCAATTCATTTCCGGCAGGTCGATGATAGAGAGCAGCCTCAACATCATCAGGTCCAGAGGGCTTGAGTCATTTACATGACTGACAATAACTAGGTCGATGCTGGATGGAAGGTTTTACGAGCTTGAGGAGGTGAGAAGTTAGAAGGAAAATGCCAGTGAGAGCTGAGGAGCTTGCGATGCAGCCTTTTGATCATCTGCCCGTTCCGTCAAAGGGTGAGAAATCAGTCGGAATGCGTGTAATGTTCATCTATTCTTTCCTTTGATGTTTTTCTTGCCAGGGGAAAATATTGAGGAGGAGGAGGAGGAGGAGGAGGAGGAGGAGGAGGAGGATGGAGAAAGCTCTCCATACGCGTCCCCAAGAGGAGAGACAAGCATGGCGTCAGAGGAAGGAGGAGAAGACGACAGCAGCGACCGCACAAACGATGGCAACAGCACAAAGAGCATGGCGAGGTGATGTGCTTGTTCTAGGGCACATGCAGCTGAATCGTGTTTTAGCACGCACAGGCAAGAAGAGCAAGGTAGAGGGAGGTGGAAGTTGCCGTTCTTCTCTGACCTTCCCCGCCCTTTCCTCTGAATCTCTTCTCTCTTCGTATCTCTGCTCCTTCCTCCCTTTTGAATCCCTATGTCCTCCTTTCGCTTCATATCGTCTCATCTCTTCCTCTATTCGTTGATTTTCTTTTCTCTCCTACCCCCTTCTCTGCTCTCCTCTGTTCTCCTTTTCTCCCATGTTCCTCTGTCTCTTCCTCCTCCCCTCTCCACCTGGGCTTCCCACAGAACCTGAAAGTGCTCGAGACAACCTTTACACTATGCATGAACACGCTCGGGCGGAGATTGAAGACTGGGGAAGGGAGTTGGGGTCCTTTACATACTCGGTGACTTCTTTTCTTCTGCACATCATCATCATGATCATGATAATCATCTCCTCGTCCTCGTCCTCGTCCTCGTCCTCGTCCTCGTCCTCGTCCTCGTCCTCGTCCTCGTCCTCGTCCTCGTCCTCGTCCTCGTCCTCGTCCTCGTCCTCGTCCTCCCCCCGCCTCCTTTTTCTCCTCCTGCTTCCATCTCTGTCCTGACCCTGTTCATGGTTCTGCTTCCTGTTTCCTCCCCTCATTTGTTCCCATTCCTTCAGCACATCGTTCTTACTTTCAATCTTCATTTTCCAGTTCATCATGGAGATATTCGAGTTCTTGAGGAGCGTCGATGTGCAGGTGATTACGATGATATAATGACAATGATGATGCGGGTGCTGGTGATGATGAGAAATTGTGTTGGCAACGATGGTGATCGAAAAACGATGAAGAGGGTGAGAGGCGCGGCAAAAGTTGTGATGGGTTGTGACAGGAGGGGATTGAAGAAGAGATCAACATCCTTTTTGAGGTCGAGTTGTTCCTTTTGCTCAGCGAACAAGTCAGTTGCATTGCGCTTTTCTTTCTGTATCTTGACGCTATTCTCCTCCTCGTCCTTCACCTCCTTCACCTCCTACTCCACCACTGCCTCCATCCCCTCTTCCATCTCCATCTCCTCCTCCTCCTCCTCCTCGATCTCCTCCTCCTCCTCCTCCTCGATCTCCTCCTCCCCACATTGCAGATGTCCATGGAGCTGCCGACCCTCCTCCTTGAGCTGCGACGCTACTACAGGTGCAGAGGAGCTCGTCTGATTGATCTTGGCGTTGATCCTCCCGCAGCATCACGGAGCAGGACAACGCTCGGCTGTCGGAGAAGGAGTTGGCAACCTTGCAGGCAAGTGTCGGCTCGTCTCGCCTCCTCCTCATGGCCTTGCAGGAGAGAGGGACTAGCATCAGCCGACCTGTGGAAGCGAGTGAGACTGACCGCTTCCTCTTAGCTTTGATCCTTTTGTCTTTTGCTTTCTTCCCTACTTCCTTTTCCTCCCTCCTTCCTCTTTTCTCCTTCATCCATCATTCCTCTCCCTCATTTTTCTTCTTCGCTGCGCCTTGCTTTCTCCAGCTTTGAGCGTCCACGTTCCTCCTCCCCCAATCTTTGACTTCTCTTTCTGTTTGCCCCCTCTTATCCTCGTTGGTCTCCTGTCTTCCTGCTTGCCTCCTGTTCCTGACGTCAGCTTTCTCAGCTCTCACCATCATCCGGTCGATAAAAAACGAGTCGCTCGACTTAGCTCGCCTCGTCTCCCGCGGTCTACTCCTCGTTCTAAGTTCCTCCCTGACCTCCAGCAGGGCACAAGGAGCGCTTGAGGAGCAGAGTGCCTCCCTGGGAATTTTTCTCCTCCTTTCCCATGTTCTCTCTGGAGGACGTCCGGCCTGCGGGGCAGAAGGAGGAGGGCAAGGGAACAGGAGCAGAGGAGGCGCAAGGAGGGGAGGAAGAGTTTCAGGTGGGGGAGGAGGGAGAGGACACAGGGAGGAGGAGAGTGGAACTGAAGTGAGATGTTTCAGATGGATGACACTCTGACCGTCACGAAACCCTTGAGAGCTTTTCTCACCGGTAAAGTGGTTGAGTGGGAGGGAGGGAGAATGCTGGAAGGAGGAGGAGGGGCGAGGGGGGAGAGGAGGCTGAGGCAGTGAGGGTGGAGGGGTGACGGGGGAAGGAGATGAGATGAAAGAATCGGTACCAGAACGAGGACGGCGTAATGGAGAGAGTGAGACGGGAGGGATCAGCGATGGCAGAGAAATGGAAATCGGAGTCAGATGGTGACGTAACAATGATCGTCAGAGTACCACAAGAACTATGTGACAGAAAGAGCGTTGGTCTCTCAGAATCAGGTTGATCGTCAAGGCAGCTTCTTGTTTCTCACCTCGCTCCTCACAGCTTCTCCCTCGGGCCGGCAAGCGTCCTGAAGTGATGATCAACAAGCAGGTTCAGCGCTGTCACGTCCTCATGATGGTCTTGTAAGTCTCTTGTCCTGCAGTTCTCCCGAGACGTCCCCAACCTCCTGAGGATCAACGGTCATCCTTGCGCGGGAGAGGTCGGCAGAGAGGGGAGAGGAAGAGACTCTGCATTCAACTTTCCTCGTCAGACTCCGGAAGACAAGATTCGCTTCGCCTACGACAACATCGTCCGGGCAGGTCTTGACCGTCCCTTCTGCTTTCTTCCTCTCGTCCTCGTCCCCGTCCTCGTCCTCGTCCCCGTCCTCGTCCTCGTCCTCGTCCTCGTCCTCGTCCTCGTCCTCGTCCTCGTCCTCGTCCTCGTCCTCGTCCTCGTCCTCGTCCTCGTCCTCGTCCTCGTCCTCGTCCTCGTCCTCGTCATCGTTCTCCTTCGTTTCCACTCTCCTGCTTTCATTTTCTCTCTCCTTCCCTTCTTCCCTCTCCCCTCTGATCGCATGTCCGCAGTCGATGGCAACACGGAGAAGGCGCAGCGAATTACTTTGGTAGCGAATCAGAACCTCGGCATCTTCATGTACGAGCTGCTCGTCAAGGCGAACAGTCACCGCAAGGATGTCGTCGTCATGCAGGTTTGCGCTGCTCTGATCGCACGCGAGAGGGAGGAGGAGACGGGAGACACGAGGGGAGGAGAAGGAGAAGAGAGAGGGGGACGGGGAAGGAAAGGAGATCAGAGGCAGGAAATCGAAGCAGAGGATGGTGTGACTGCTGTGGCTCAGGTCGGCGAGCATCACCTGGACGTGAGGACGATGAGGAGGTAGAGAGGGGAGGAGGCTTGTGGTTGCTTGCTGCTCAGATGAACGATCAGAGGAATCGTGATTGTGTTCGAGGCTCTCTTCCGCCTGCAGGTGCGACTCGATCTCCCTCCTCCTCTGTCCTCTTGTCCACCTTGTCCCTTCTCCTCTCTGCTGCATCCCTTTTCCTTACACCGCCTTCTTCTACCGCTCCATCCCTTCCTACAGCTCTCCTCTTCTCTTTCCTCTTCCTCCTACCTTCCTCGCGTCTACTCTCCTCTTCATTCCTGCCCCCTCACAACGTCTTGTGCTCTCCTTTCCTCCTTGGTCCTGACCTCGAGGACAGAAGAACGACAGTATCGAGTTGGAAGGAGATGTTGTCAAAGGGTTTGCAAAGGTGAAGCTCACAGCGGAGGGCAGGATCGGCGCTCACTGGTTGTTGTCAGGTTGACTTTGTACACAAGAATGTTTCTTTCAGGTTCTCGAAACCGAAGAGTTCATGAACTAGTTCAGTCATTAGTGTATGTCAGAAAAGTCTATCACCTCTCGTAAGATCATTGTCCGCTGATGAAGGACTCAAACAAAGCATGACCAACGCAACATGGAGGATGTGTTCTTGCAGGCGGGTATGCAGCAGCAGGGCCAAAATGCTGGAGGACAAAAGGGAATGAGGGAAGGAGGAGAGATGAGCATTGAGAGGGAGGAAGGAGAGGAGACAGAGGATTCAGGGCAAGAGAGGAGCGAGGAGTTTCTCGCCAATGAGCGACTGAAGTCCGTCGAGGAGACTGGGACCGCATGGTGGGCCTCGTGACCTTGAGCTCGACCCCAGCTGGAGATCAACCAGAAATCATGTCCCTCCACTCCTGGTAGTACTCATGGACCCAGCTTCACTCAGCATCTCGTGGAACCTTCGCAAGTGAATCTGCTCGTCTCGCTCAGCCAGCTGTCGTCGTCGCCCTTGACATCGTCCCTTCAGCTTACCTGCACCTCTCGGCCGCTGGTCCCTCACTCCTCAACTGGGAGGAAGGAAAGGGTGCTCCTGTATCAGGTCCAGCTGACCTCGAGGTTGAGGGAAAGGTTGTAATGGTCGCTACTCGAGCGATACGGAAGAGGATTTCCTTGCTTGTCTCCTCCTCTGCCCCTGATGACGTCATCAGCCCGTGTCCATCCTCTCCTACTCTCCCTCGGTCAACGTAAATCTAGGGTTGCTCTCTGTTTTAGCACCCGTCTTGATGGCAACCTGTCATCCTTCTGGCACATCCACAGGCTCAAGGCCCATGACATCATGTGGAGCATCTGCTACAGCTGCTCGACATTCTCGACACTGACAGTGCGGACTAGATTTGTCAGGCAGCCGACTTCGCGCCGATACTTGCGGACGCATTTCTGCGAGAGGGGAAGGAGGATGTGCCCAGCGATGTCCGTGCGGCGTGTGGGAAGCGTCACACCGTGATGCTTGACGATGGGGTGCTGAACGTGGCCAGTGACTATCAACATGGGCAGCTCGGGATAGCGCTCGATTCTTCGACTTTGACGAAGTCGTAGCGCGCTGTCCTGCTTCGAGGATCCTTGTGGTTTCCGTCAACCAATTTAAGATGAAATTTCTGAAAGCGCTGACGTTGATATCGGCCGGATATCGGCCACATGCTGCCCTTCTCGCTCTATCGACGACTGCAGCGAATTCAAAGGTTGTGTGCTCAACGTTGTACCATCCGATTCATTGTTCTGAAGACCACTCGTGCATGTCTGGACGCTGTGAAGGGGAACCGTTGAACGTCAACGGAAGCAGCGGGGAGCACCTGTCTAAGAGTGTTTGCCACCCAGGGTGCTGCCGCTGCAAATCATTGTTGGGCCTGCCCACGGAGAAGACACCGTGTGGGAAGTCTTTGCTAAGTGGGGTTGCCATGCATGTATGTGTAGAATGAATCAATCAAGTCGAAAGGTTGTTTTCCAAGCTGTCTTTGCTGTTTACTGTTGCCATGGAAGCGGCAAGAGCGTTCAAGTTGCACATTCCATACCGCTGCTTCAACACTTGTCATCGCAGTGCGCTCATCGCCCGATTTTCCGAACCGTCCAACTTCCGAAGTTGGGACTCGAAGTTCGGGCCCGGGCTGTTCAGCCGGCCGGGCCCCGGGCACCTTTAGACTGTTCGGGCCCGGCGGCACTTACTGGGCCGCATTTCGTATCCAACTTGGCGGCTGCCACGGCATGGGACGCAAGTCTAAAATGTGGTTTTAAAACAAGCAGATCGATGTACTTTCGCATCGTTTCAACTAGACTTCTTCGGAAAGTTGCTGAAAGAACTCGTTTGATGATTTTTTACATCCTTGTAGTATCTTTAAAATATAAAAATCCGTTGCGGCCCTTGGACCCTAGCTTGCTTCTGACCTTTCAACTCAAGGATCAAGTCTTATAAATATAAAAGTCACCATAAATATTTTTTAATTACACAAAAACATTACTATTTCAAAAAAATACTTTTTATCTCTAAAAAGTATTTTGTATCCCAACTCTTGTCAAAAAGTGTTTTAGGAGACCTAAGGCAACGCGCTCATGCAAGTGCGCAGGAGTATCAAGGCGAGGGGCTCAGGGCATGCGGGAGCTTGTTAGGTGGGAGAAGGGAGGAAGATGAGGAATGATAGAAACATGGGAGGAAGAAGCATTATATGCACCAGTAGCCATCGATATCCAGGAAGCGCGGCATTGCTGCAAATGTGTTGGCCAGGTTTTAAAGTGGGAACAGAAGATTGTATGTTGTTTTACTCCGAAAGCCGTAAGAGGTTGCATGCCCAAACAGTCAGATCCTAAGTAAAACCTTCCTGATTGAATCCTTTTGGTGCAGGGGATCCCTTGGGAGGCTACATATTGTTCTTGTCTGGTTCTTTCGCACAGGAACTCAATGCTCGGGGACGAAAGGCGGTTGACGTTGCGTTGAGACCAGCATCTGCAATGAACGACTTGCATGAGACGAAAGACCAAGAAATCGAATCTAGCAGATCGAATGCCCGCCAGCTCTTGGAGGAAGAGAATTCAGAGAGTTATGCTTGCGAGAAGAGGAGGAGGACAGCAGGACACCAACGATGCTGCCCAGTGTCGGAGGGGTCGAACACGGAAGATTGTACTTGCGTACAAAGTGAGCATGTGCTCGGTGCTAAGGTTACAAGCATAACGAGGGAGAAGTTGCTGATGTTGAAAGACCTTCAAGCTACCAACAAGCGGCTGCGGCAGGACGTGCTCTTCCTTTACCTCCAAGTGATGACTTGTCCCTTGTCTTGATTGCATCTCACCTCCTCGCAGGTGCAGTGGCTGAGACAAGTCCTCCACCAGCTCGACTCAGGAGGGTTGAATCTTGAGCAGCCGGCAGCAGAAGGCGACACCTCCTCGTTGTCGTCTAACGACTGCGTTCAGTAGCTTTCTGCCCGTCCTCCATGTCCCTTGCCGTGAATCTCTCTCCCGCTCTGTCTGCTCTGCCTCTGCTCCATCATGGGCACACTCAGTGAGATGGGTCCTCTGCTCGGGCGTCGGGCTCAGGCGCTGGCATCTCTCCCGGTTCCCAGCAGGTTCCGCTCCCTCTTGGTATAGAGATCTGCCGCCCCGCTCTCTCTGTATCCGATTTCAGCGGTTCCCCTCCTGCCATCCTGCCATCCTGCTCTCCCTCATCCTCTGCTCTGCTCTGCTCTGCTCAGCTCTCCTCACCCCTCCTCTCCTCTCCTCTTCCCTCTTCTTCTCTCCTCGCCTCGCCTCGCCTCGCCTTCCCCCAATCTCTTCCCTCGTACCTCTCCACTTCGATGGTCGCTCCTTTGTGTTCCCAAACCTGCGGACCACACTCAGGACTGCTCGGACAAAGAACAACAACAGGGATAAACCCATGAAGAAAGCGGCAGAGCTGGAGAGGCTGGAGGGAGTGAGGAGAAGGAGAGAAGGGAGGGGCATGGCAAAGGAGATAGACTTAAGAGGAGGAATACAATTGGATTGTACCGTCCGATCCTCATTGAACCATAAGAATCTTGATCTGATCTTCCCACCGATGAATTCAATCCGCGCATTTCCACCTCTCGCATGGTACCTGAGCAGAGATGACAATGTTATCTTCTGACCACCTCCTCCTTCCTCCCCACTGTTCTCCTGCTCTCAAATCACCCTATTTCCCTCCTCACATGCAGTGAAAGACTGCTACTTTGAAATGTTGAATGCAAGTCTCCTCAAATCGAATCGACGAGTAGCTTGAAAGAGAAAGCAGTCAGACGCGCACGAACTAGCCCTGCTTGTTGAAATTCGCTCACTCGTCCAAAGTAGCTGCGAACGCCCCTTGCTCCAGGTGGCAGTGGCTGACTACAGCCCGACCCGCTCCGTAGCTGTGTGCTGCTTCAGGATAGCGCGCAGTAGAGCACGAGGCAACCTCCGGATCGATCTGCCGATGTCTCCGGCGAGGAGGAGGGAGCATCGTTGCAGGGACACTTGGGAGCTGTCCCTGACCTTGATGACGTCATGAGCGTGGAAGGGACGTCTCTCTTCCCGCTCACCTGAAAGACGTCCGCGCATCTTGCCCGCTCAGAGATCCCTCCTATGCAGCAGTCTCGCGCTTCTACATCACTGACTGGCACGTCAGCCGTCGCCTTGCGGGGCTGGGGGGAGCACGTGGGGACGGGGGAGTGATCCTCACCTTGACAAGGAGCATTTCACGACTGTGGCGGTGCTGTATCTCATGGTACATTTCTTACCAGCAGACTAGTCAAAGCTCCACCTCACACCAGCTCTTGTCACCTCAAACAGCCAGGGCCCGCCCAGGATCAAGAACAAGTGCATGTAAAGCTGTCATGGTATACAACTCACACGCAACTTTGCGCTACTACTTGATGAGTCACCTCGTCCGATCGCATCAGCATGTTCAGCCCTGTCGCTCAACGCCCGTCAGCCCTCGATCTCTTCATGGGTACAAGGGAGCCGACCGCTGAAAGTTCCGCACGTCTCCTGCAGCATCCACCACCTCCCTGACAGCACAGCAGGGTTGCCCTGGCAAGTTCGCCCTTCAACCGAGGAGCATCACACAGTCCAACTTGCCTGCGTCGAACTTCGGAAGTGATAGAAGGAGCCTTCCCTTATGGTGAACGGGCTCTTCCACGTCACGTACGGCGTACTGGTAGAGCTGTTGGTCTTGGCCATACAGTCAGTGATGTCTTCGATGGCCGTTGCCTCGTCCTCCTGGTACCCCAACCTGACAGTATGCGGCATCAGAGTATCCTCGCCACAGATCACGATCAAGGGCGCACGTCTCAGTCTGTCGGAGCAGGAGGAAGCTGTTGTTGAACACTGGGTTCCTGATGACCTGGGGCATATAGAAGACGAGGACGGCTTTGGTCTTGTTTTGCAGCTGACTGACGAATTCCTCTGCAGGCCTCACTCGGATCACAGGGAAAGACGGCACGATGGTCGGATCGATAGGAAACCGGCTGAATACCAGCGTCCTCCTCTCAGGAAACGACCAGGTCGCCTTCTTGGTGCGCACATGATAGTAATACTCCCTGCCTCGCCGATCCTTCGCTGACTTCCACTCGGGCGGCAGAGCGCCATCGGCTCTTGGGTAGGCAGCGGGCCTCAGGGGTGAGGAGGAGAAGGAGGGATGGAGGCAGCGGGTCAGGAGGAGCAAGAGAACAAGGACTCGCTTCATCGTGCCCTCGTTCCCGCAAAACAGCACAGCGATGAATCCCCTTTCACAACAACCATAGCTCCGTACTCCTCACTCCTCCTACTCTTCTCTTCTCTACTGCTCTTGTCTTGTCTTGTCTTGTCTTGTCCTCTCGGCTCTCCCTCCACTTACTCTCTTCCAGTGCCCCTGTTCATTCTTCGCCAAGAATTCGCATAGAGCGAACTGAGCAGGTCTGCCTCAGGCAGTCCTGCAAGTCAGCTAGCTAGTAGTAGTAGAAATGCTCTACTACGGGCTATGACGTTCTGCCATGGGAGGCAACAGAGAGAAGGGTCGCATCAAGAATGCTGATGAGCAGGAGGATGGATGGATGGATGGGGGGAGGGAGGAGGGAGGGAGGGAGTGGAGGGAGGGAGGGCGAGGAGGGAGGGAGGGAGGGAGGGGGGAGGGGAGGAGGGGAGGGAGGGAGGGCGAGGAGGGAGGGAGGGAGGGAGGGAGGGAGGG